CGCTGCGGTTGTTGATAAGACCTAGACAAGGTCGAAACTGCAGTCCACTCTGGATGAGCACAACTTTTGGGAAAGCAAGGCTATTTGAAATTCAATGGAAACGTCAGCTCATATCATTGTGAGAAAGTTCTATTTATTACCAGTCCTATATCAACGAAATAGGCTGAATACATCTTATAATACTCCCTCATTCCTTGGTTTTTATTTATTTTCTTAGGTATCTATCCACGCTTGGTCATCCTTTACTCGAGTTCTTTTACCATATCTAGTATATTATACCTTTTATCTATTATTACTAGCTTCCGATTTTAATCAGACTATTTCCTTCACCATAGGTTTTATGTAAATCTTAATTTACTATTGAATTTCTCGGCTTTTTTCACTATCTCAGGCTGTGCTGTCTATTTATTAATCTCTAGTTCTGCCTGTCCATTATCTTCATATCATCTGTCTCTATTTGCATATTCCTTTCGTCTATCGGTATATACATATCTTTATATTTTTCATTGTTTCTCACTCATTTGGCCCCTTAGTCAATCTTTGCCCATATATGTATATGTGTGTGTACGTGTACTTGTGTTTACGTGCATATATGAATATGCGGATATGATGCTTTGCCTATTGAAACCTGAATTTCTCCTCGCCTCTAGCTCTATCTACTCATCCCTATGTCTTTATAAATTGGCTTTGAATGCCAATCTGATTATTGTCTTCGCACCATCATATTGATATCAAACTTGACTTTTTGCGTCTATATAAATGTGTGCCGAAATTTTGCATCATAAAAAATCGCGTATACTTATTTGTCTGACTGCCTGTGTCCGTTGTTGCGCAGGTGTGTGAGTTTGGGCGGCTCCTGTCTAACTAACAGAGGGACTTTGCCAACTACTATATTTAGCCTAGCTACTAAAAATGGCTTTTTCTGAGGGTGGCTAGATTATGTGATGCTCACTTTTTGAAATAGGCTTATACTTCACTCGTTTGTACACTTTCAACACACGATTGCTTGTTCTCATTTATTTTGGTGCTAAATTTTATTAGGTTCCCTACTTGCTTTATTTTTATGCTTTAGCCTGACTGCTGAAGCAGAGTTTAACTTTGCACTATTTTAAGTATTGGTTTCTCTATACTTTCTATTATTTCCGACCAGTGAATAAATAGCTATGCTGTTATCTACTCTTTTCTTTTTAAATCTACCTTCATTATCCAAAGCTAGTATTTCTCTGTCTATCTATTTGCCAAAACTTATAATCTTTGCCTTGATTCTGCCTATGTGCTAATATATTGACTTAATATTGAAACTTTAAGCTAAGACAGAACATTGGTTCCCTGGCGTTATAGACCCTGATAATTGATTCATCCTTATCGAATTGAGGATAGGACTTGATTTCATCAATAAATTCTATTATACATTTAATCTCATCGCATTTTGTTCCCATCAGACTTGAATGCACTTTCAATCTCGCCTAGGCTTCACCTATATCCTTGGCAAGGTCAAAATCACACAAAGCAAACATTGGTAATTTGACATTACACTTATGGAGCTATATTGGCCTAAACAACAGGCATAAGTAAGAAGCTGAAGTAACTTTTTGCCTTATAGCACTGCAATTATTCTATCCACTTCTCATCTGGAGTTTTGCTGAGGTCTGGGAATCATTATGGACTACATTCGACTCCTTCGAATTTGTTGACCATGCCAGAAATGTCTGCTGAGTCATTCGCTCATGTTTTCCAAAGCCTGTTTCTTGATTGACCAATGAACATGTCAAACACAAGGTCATCTCAACAAGGATGGGGCAATGGGTTATCCTATCGCATGCGATCCTTTTTGATCGGATCTTACTGTTACGACATTGAGGATTTTTCTTGTGCAAATTGTACTAAGAACTAGATTTCTGCATATTAATTATTCTCCGACTTTATGAACTTTTTATGTGGATCTTATCGGAACTTATGCTAACTTATTTTTCGTTTCTAAGTAGACCTTTGAGACTACCAGTAAATGAGTTATATGAGATGTATTCAGCCCATTTCGTTTAAGGTGCTGAAGGATTGGTAGTTGAATTTTCCCACGATGATATAGAAAGCTGCCTGGCGTTCCTTCAAATTCACATCTGCCCTCTGACCCAAGGGCAATCATAGCAATGTGGAGGAGTGGCTAGCGTGTCGAGCCTACACGCTGCACCGTCATGGTTCGAATCTCGCTGGGGGTGTTGATAAGACCTATGCATGGTGGAAACGGCAGTCCACCCTGAATAAGAACAACTTTTGTGAAAGCAAGGCTATGTGAAATCCAACGGAAAAGTCAACTACTCATAATTGTGGGAAAATTTAACTACCTTTGTTTCACGGGGCAGATGTGAATTTCAAGGTATCAGGCACTTTCCATATCAAATTCTGTGTTGGGATTATCGACGAACTTATCTTTGCTATAGCAGTCTACGACATTTCTTTTTTCGTTAGTTAGTAGGCTGTCGATACTGCCAGTAAGTCAGATATATTAGTTGTGTTCACCATATTTCGTGATGAAGGACTGATAGTTAAATTTTCAAACAATGATATGAGTAGAGCAGACGTTTCCATTGAGATAGAAATGGAAATGTCAGCTCTACTCATATCATTGTGGGAAAATTCAACCACCAGTAATAAATCACCTTAAACGAAATAGGGTAAACCACTCATATATAATTTCTTTAGACTGATGAATAGAGCGAGACTACCTCAACTTAATGAAATTCGGATTATTACTGCAGAATCTCACCTTTTAAGAGCTGTGCATATGAATTCTAGACATTCAAGTCGTACATCATTTTGTCACTGCAAATCACAATTTTTGAACTTGAACCAGCTAATTAGCTAAAATGGTGCTTTATATAATCGAAATATTCTTATATTTTCCTTCTCTATATGATTCACGATTAAAATTTAATTAGTCTTTATGCCTTAAACTCCGCTTCACCTTTTTCTAAATCCGTTCTATATTTGATAACTTGGCCTAGTCTTATTGCATACTCGGATTATTATATCTTGCCTATCTGCAGTAGCTAGTCTCTAAACCCTAATTTTAACGAAACTATTTGGATTCTAAATCTTCTTTCTCAGGTTCATCGTCTTGCAAATGACTTCTTTTTTCTTATGAAGGCACTTTTTCATTCTCCTTGGCTTCCTTTGGGAACCTTTTTATTATAAAACCGATTTATTTAGGTAAGGTATTTCAAATGTTTACTGGTACTTTTATGGGCACTCCTCTATCCCTGTACATTCGTAGAACTCATTTAGCTGCTAATATACTGAGAAGGCTTATTTAATATAAAAGGTTGATACCAAAGTATCGTACAAAAAATATCTCAATATCTCCCTTATTTTTACAATCGAAGAGTTATTCACCAGGAATTATCTGAATAGACTGGCCGAACGCATCTGTCTGCTTATTTAAGGCCTTGACATATACAATTCTTCCTCACAATTCTTTTCTTCATAGCCTCATTCTAACTTCTCTATGGATATGCCAAGGAAAAGACGGACAGATTTTATTTGTTTCTCCAACAGGTGTTTTTTGGCAAACATCAGAACCGAGCTCAAAAAATAATGTAGATTTGCTATTGCCTGAAGCTATTGTGTCGTATGATAGATGAAAGTTGTATTTCTCATGCTTACGAACTAAGAAATTTCTTTATAAGTCTAAAACGTCAACATATACCGTATTTCCCCATGTATAAGCACCCTCTTTGTATCATCACTTACAATTATTTACAAAAAAGTACAACATACTGCTGAAAAACCAGTTGATTCCTAC